TCAGGCCACGCAACGAGGTCGAGCGAATAAGGACGGGTGGGGCCCGCATCCCCATACAAAGAATAGTTGCTCAGCAGCTCGCTGAGGGCTCCCCGAGCAAATCCCGCCTCGCTGGGAGGGGGGCCCAGACGACAGTAACAATCACTGAAGCGATCGAGCACTCTTTTCTGAGCAAGGGACGCGGGGGCTGGCGCAACCTCCTTATATCCTGACATCTGGTTGAGGGCCTTCACAGCATCGTTAGCCCAACTGACTGAATGCTGGAGGCGAAGGCGGCGACGGCGCACGGTCCTGCAGACACTCGCTGGAGCATCGGAGCGGGGGCCGAGGAGAGGAAGCGGGAAGACATCTCTCTGCCGATAGTCGCCGGCAGAACGGGGATTCAAAAAGTCGCTCGAGCCCGGGTCCCCAACTCCTGGGCCCGGGGGTAAATCACGTCCCATCGCCGGGCCCTGAGCCATCCTTGCCGCCTTTCTTGGCGCCTTTCTTGGCCAGGGCCCGCTCCTCTCGCGCCTTGCGGCGCTCCTTGGCGATTGGTACTCCTTCACAAAATCGGCCAGCTGGGGGCTCGCGCGCGCGCATCCTCGGATCATGTCCGTCCCCGTGCACAGATGGTTGTCGGCCACGCTGTCCGACCCCCCAGCCAGCCTATCACGGTATCGTTCTTCTTGCACCTGAATGACACGGCACAGCGATTCGGCACTAGCCAGGGTGGTGACCATGAGCTGATCGTAGAATATCATCTGCTCCAACATCCGACAAGCTTGCTCGTGTTCGTCGACCCCCACGTCGGATGACGACAACTTGGCCTCGGTCCGAAATCGCATATGACGGCCCATGGGGCTTCCTCCATTCTGTTCCATGAACTTCAGCACCCATAAGACGGTACGTGGGCCTCGAATTGGCCAGTCGGGCCACGCGTCCTCCCGCATCATCAAGATGGCGCCCCGGAAGGAACGGTGGCGGTTGCCCTGCGCGTCGAGGGACACGGGCTGCACGCGCACATCGCTGATACCCTGAGGCGCCGCGGGAGCAGGTGCAGCACCGGGGAGCGGGGCCGCGGCGGCGGCAGCTGGCGCCAGGGCCAGAGCTGGAGCCGCCATCGCGGGGGCGCCCGCGAGAGCCACAGGGCCCGCGGCGCCCGCGGGGGCCAGGCCTGGTGCCACGGCTGCTGCTGGTGCAGGTGGCGCCATGGCAGGAGGCAACGGGCCCCCCCCCGGCCCTACAACGGCGGCTCCCCCAGCGGCCAGCGCGGCCACGGGGGCGAGCCCTCCACCCGGTGCTAGGCCGTCGACCGCGCCACCTGCTCCACCGCCTGCCGCAAGCGCACCTCCAGGCGTTGCGGGCGCGGGTACGGCCAGGGCCGCCGCCAGGCCAGCCACTCCTCCGGCAGCACCGCCTCCGACGGCCCCGACAGCTCCTGCAGCGGGCATCGGCATTCCAGCGAAACCTGCACGGCCGACTGAGTTCACCGCGAAGCCTGGGCGCAACGGCAAGCCAAGGCGGACTGCAGCCGCATCACGAAGTCCCTGCATCGCCGCAGGAAGCGGCACATTCCGAAACCTGTGCACGTGGTCAGCTCCGATGGGTCCAGCATCACGGCCAAGCGCCCCACCCTCCAAGATCGCGAACTCCTGGATATCGCCTCCTGCTGACAGTTCCTCTTCATATTGATCACTGTCCGGGGTCAGAATGCTGATGATTGGCTGGACCCCAGGAGAAATCACGAGGATGATCCTTTCGTGCCAGATCCGAGGCCCAGCCACTCCGTAACGTACGGCGATCACGTCGCCCTCCTGTAGGCCCAGTTGGGCCAAGGGATTCGCCATCAGCTCACACGGTGCGCTGCCTGACTGCGGCTACGAAATCGGGCGGCTTGCTCACGGGCAATGTCCTGGATCGAGGGGGGGTTCCCTATCTTGGGCGCGTCGCCGCCGCTGGCCTTCTGGTCACAGCGGCGCCCAGCCGCGAAGCTGGCCGCGCCTACGAGGCCCAGGCCGAGCACGAACCACACCCACGGGAAAGGGCAGCTGCACTCCACGGGCACCAGCTCCTTCGCAGCCTCACCTGGGCCGCACACCAACTGGGGCGAGCAGTAGCAGTCGGGGCAGGGCGGCGGCGGCCGCGGTAGCCCCCAGACCACGGCAGCAGTCTGCGCCGCCCGCGCTACCTCAGCCGTCAAGGCCTCGGCCAGCGCCTGCATGCGCGCGCGGGGCTCTGGGACCGACCACCCCCTCAAGAGCTTGAGCCGCGTGCCACGGATAGCACACGGGACTGTGAATTCTCACATGCGGCATCCTTGCGGCCAGACCCTCCTGTGCTTACAGATCTAAAATCAACCATTTAGTGGCGCTGAGTGGCCGTGAAGCTGGGCCACAATGAAGTAGATCAGGGCTCATGGTCGCCGACCTCCGTGAAGCCGCGGGCGCGTGAACGAGAACGCCGGCCCCATCGGGGCCGCAAACGCTCGTGCCGCTAAGTGCCGCTATCTTCTAAAAAACGTAATTCGAAGACATCCTGCTGTTCCTCAGGACCAGTTCCAAAGACATCCGACACTAGGTTTTCCCATTCCGCGGCCTCAGAGGTCTCGACCGCTTCCCCCATGGCAGTGGCGTTCGTGCTGGATCAATGCTTGATGGCGACGGGACCCGAAAACGGGGCCCACTTCATAAAGGAACCCAAGAACACACAAATTACTCAATGACGTACCCGACCCTTCTCTAACACGGGGCAACTATATGAAGGACCGTTCAACACAAACGAACAGGACGAAAGACGGGCACTTCGCAGCCCCCCAGGGAGCCACGAGGTATCGGCTGCGAGCGCGTGGACCTCCCAGGAGCACACGAAATCGAGGCCACTTGCGCGGCTCGCAGCCCACCGTGGCCCGCGAGGTCTCGGCTGGGTCCGCATAGACCTACGCTCCGCTGGACCTCCCATGGACTCATGGCAACAGCGACACTTTCGCGGTTCGCAGCCCCCTGGGAGCCGCGAGGTCCCGGCGGGTCCGCGACAATTGCGCGGTTCGCAGCCCCCAAGAGAGCTGCGAGGTCGCGGCGGGTCCGCTCGTGGACCTCCACTATGCTGGACCTCCCAGGAGCCCACGAAAGTGGCGACAATTGCGCGGTTCGCAACCCCGCAGAAAATCGCGAGGTCTCAGCAGGTCTGCGTGGACATCCATTCCGCTGGATCTTCCAGGCACACACGAAAATGGCCACAATTTCGCGGCTATCAGGTGCCAAGGGAGCTGCAACATCTCGGCAAATCCGCGTGGACCTCCACCCCGATGGATCTCTCAAGAGACACGAACATGGCGACAATTGCACCACGAGATCTCGGCAAGTCCACGTGGACCTCCACTCCCACTCCGCTGGACCTCCCAGGAGCCCACGAAAGTGACGACAATGGAGCGGTCCGCAACCCCGCAGGGAGCCGCGAGGTCTCGGCAAGACCGCGTGGACCTCCACTCCGCTGGACCTCCCAACCACCCATAAAATTTGCGACACTTGCGCGGTTCGCAACCACGCAAAGAACCGCGAGGTCTAGGCAAATTCGCGTGGATCTCCCGACAATTGCGCGGTTCGCAACTCCGCAATGCGCAGCGAAGTCTCCGCAAATCCGCGTGGACCTCCACTCCGCTAGACCTCCCAAACACTACCGCGAGAATAGGGAACATCGCGCGGTTCACAACTCCACAGGAAGCCGCGAGGTCACGGCAGATCCGCTTGTGGACCTCCACCCCGCCGAACCTCCCCAACGCCAACGAACATGGCGACAATTCCACGGTTTGTAACCCCGCAGGGGGCCGCGAGGTCTCGGCAAGTCCGCGTGGACCTCCACTCCGCTGGACCTCCTAGGAGCCTGCGAAAATGGCGACAATTGCGCGGTTCGCAATCTCGGCAAATCCGCGTGGACTATTACTCCGCTGGACCTCCCAGGAGCCTGCGAAAGCGGCGACGATTTCGCTGTTCGCAGCCCCGTTGGGCCTGCGAGGTCTCGACGAGGGAGAGGAGGACTAAACAGGAAAGAGAGGGGGGCGGGGAGTGGACGAAGGGGAGGCGGGGAGGAGGGAGGCGGGAGGAGGAATGAGGAGGAGGAGGAGGAGGCGGGGCCCGTACTGCTCTGTGCAAAACTAGAACCTAACCAAAGGGAGGGTTGGGAAAACGCAGGAGGCAGGATGGGGGGAGGAGGGAGACTCGACCACAGGAAGCCAACACAAGAAGAGGCAGAGAGGCAAGAGAGAGGCAGAGGAGGAAGGCGACAAGAAGCGGGCGAGGAGAAAGAGACGGAGACTCGACAACAGTGCGCTACAGTGGGGGCCAGTCCACAAGAAACCTTCCTCAAGAAACCCAACCCTGAGACCCCAGGAAGTCTATTGACTTTTTGGTGTGGGAACGTCACGCTTCCCATCGCAAAACCATCGAAACCCAAGAAACCCAGGGCACCCTGGAGGCAAGCAGGGTGTTTCTTGGCATGGGCCCCCCTTGTATTCAAAACGAGAACCCAGCACAGGATAGTTGTCCATAGTTTGTGGACGTCCGTCTTCCCATCCACTTCAATGAGTTTCCCATCTCTTCCTGGGGATCGACGATAAATTATGTGTGCGTGTTTCCCCTCCTGACACTTGGATGACCGCGGGGTTGCTTAGGGGAAAGGGGGAACTTCAAGTCGACGCTAAGGTAATATATCTGGCCTAACCCAACGTACGAGTGGGTTGCAAATGCCCCAGGCGGCTTACGGGTGGCATAGATCTTGGCTATTACGTGGGCGGAGCCCTCTTACGAGAGATACCTAACCCTCCTAAAGCTACGCAGGGCATGCGTAACCCTCAGATTATCAGCGAGGTTGGGTCAAATACAGCCCACCTTCACATCCATTGATCACCCCCCCATCCCCTTGGCAATCACCGCGGTCGTCCGAACAGAGGCCGGAATCTAAGAAAAGCGCCCCGCATTGGACACGCCACATCGCAAGACCTCCGGGATTTGCTGCACGGCGGCCTGATGCGGAGGTCCTCCCTGGCCCGCTTCGCGGCCGGCGGGCCGCTGGCCGCGGCCGATCCCGGGCCTGGCGGCGCGGCACCGCTCCGCCCGGCCAGCGCCGCGTCCCCTCTCGATCGGCCGAGAGGCTGGGCTGCCTGCAGGGGCAACGCCGTGCTGCTCCCGGGCCCCGGCCCTGCCTGGGGGGAGGAGGAGGGAACAGCGGCAAAGAGCGGCGCGCCACGCCACCAAGGAACGGTCGCACCCCTTGGGGAAAACTGGCATCTCCAGTTGTTTGCGCTCTAGTCTAGCCAGCCCACTCTAATTCGAAAGCGCCAGCTTCAGCATTAGGAGAAGAGGAGGACGACGAGGATGAACAGGAGAAGAAGGAAGCAGCGGCGGCAACACAGTTACCCATCTCCTTTTCTGGCACTGCCCATTGTGAGTGACTCCCTGTGAGAGAATACTAGCCTGCTATAGCGCGGTGACCGTGGGGCTCTGAATGGAGATGAGTCGGAGGTGCAAGCCGAGCGCCTCGCTCAAGACATCCCCACAACCTGTCCGCCCGTGAATGGGCCCGTGAGGTACCCCCTGGCGGCTCCCCCTTGGGCGCTGAAGCAAGAGACTCGCTCAGGACATCCTCGCCAGCTGCTCCCTGGCGGCTCCCCCCCTGGGGTGCTGAAGCCAGCGCCTCGCTCGAAACATCCTCACGCTCTGATCTGAAAGCAAAGGGCTCAGGGGGGGCCGAAACAAGCAGACCGCCAGAGACGCCCCCAGTCAGGACGCAAAGAATCCCACCAGCCCTTTGGGCGACAGGTGGTCGAACGAGGGTTTGCTGCCTCTTCCACAACCCCTCTTCTCTTCGGGGAGGGGAACCTTCCCCCTCCCGTCCATGACGTTTTTGGGAGGGGTCGCGACGAGTTAGAGCATCTTTTCTCGGCCCCAGGGAGGGCCAGTTTCTGACACCCCTCACAAGGATCGTGGCCCCCGAGGGGGGACGGGGGAAAGGAATTCCCTCTTTTCACCGACCGCCTCTAAGATGGCCCCAAGAGGCCTTCCAGGGCTCCCAAGAGGCTCCCAAGAGGGCCAAAAGAGCGCCCCAAAAAGCCCCAAGAAACCTCCAAGAGGCACCCGAGAGGCCCCCAAGAGGCCCCCGAGCGGCCTCAGAGAGCCCAGAATGACCTCCAAGATGGCCCAGATAGCCCAAGCTGGCTCAAGATGGCCCCCAAGATGCTCCGAACGGCCCCAAGACGGCTCGAGATGGCCACGGAACCTCCCGAGCTTCCCTTTCCTCTGTTGACTATGCGTGTCTATTCCTCTCTACCCCCGTCAACTCTCATGGGCATCTTTTCTGGATGGGCTGGTAGGGATACATTTTTTGGTCGCGGCCGCGAGCGAAGAGCGCAGGCGGCGAACAGGGTGTCCGGACCGACGGGCAAGCCTAATTAGCTACTGGGCGCAGCACAAGCCGGCCGGGCCAGCTCACAAGGCGGCACCTGGGACAGCAAGGCGGGGGCTGGCTGGCTGAACTGGAACGCCCAGGGAAGCTCGAGCAGCGTGCAGCCCTGAGCAAAATGCCAGGGCATTCTGTGTTGCGTTGCGGCGTCAGACCACTCAGGTGGAGGTGCAAGTTGATACAGGTGGGTGACCTGCACGTGCGATCCTCTCAAACATGGTGGTGGGGATGTCGGGACAGGCAGAGGGTGGCCTGAACGTACACTCCTCCCAGACACCGCAGTGGGGAAAGGCAAGGTACACACTGGTCATGTCGCCAGGGGGGCGCCAAGGGCCAGGGCCGTGTCGACGGCGTAAAGCTGCCTAGGCTCGGCTGGGACGTAACGAGGATGGAAGCACAGCGTCAGACGAAAGGCTGGACCACTCCGAGACGCCACGCACGTATCCAGGGGAACACACCAGTCCCGAGCAAGGGCAGCGAACCGGCCCGAAGGCGATGGCACCTGTGGGCCCGGCCCATGGCCACACGGTCACGACGTGGCTGGTGGGGATACGCGAAGCGTCAAGAATTGAATATCATACCTCCTAGCGGATCCTGAATGGGGTGCTGAAGCCAGCGCCTCGCTCGGGACATCCTCCCGATCTGATCTGAAAGCAGGATAGCCTGGGGGGCCGGAACAAGCAAACCGCCTGAGACATCCCCACGATGTGGACGCGAAGAATGGAGTGTCATACCCCCTGGCTGCTCCCCTTAGGGTGCTGAAGCCAGGACCTAGCTCGGAACATCATCACAAACGTCTCCCCTTGGAGTGCCGAAACCAGCGCCCCGCTCGGGACATCCCCACAAGCTGCTCTGAAAGCAGAGTATGTGGGGCTGGAACAAGCAAACCGCCGGGGTGGGCGCGAACAATTGAAGGCTATTCCTCCTGGCGGTTCCCCCCTGGGGTACTGAAACCAGCGCCTCGTACGGGACATCCTCACAAACTGCTCTGAAATCAGAAGGGTATCGGGGGCAAGAAACAGCAAACCGCCCGAGACATCTCTACGATGAGGACACAAAGGATGGAGTGTCATACCCTCTGGCAGCTCCCCCTTCGGGTGCCCCGAGTGCCACGTCTGCAGTGCGCGGTGAGCATCGAACCACCAAAAGAAAAAAGTGAGGGGGGCCGACAACAAGCAAACCACTGGAAACACCCAAAATCTGGACGCGAAAAATGGAGCGCCATACCCCCCTGACGGCTTCCACCTTGGGTGCCCGAATGGATGCCATGCCTGACATATCGCCGAATGGTAAGAGTCTGGGGGGCCCGAACAAGCAAACCGCCTCAGACATCCCCACGACGTGGACGAGTGTCATACCCCCCGGCGGCTACCCCTTGGGGTGCTGAAACCACCGGTTCGCTTGTGACATCCTCACAATCTGCGAGTCTGAGTGCTAGTGCGTCGCAAGTCTGAATGCGAGTGGGTCTGAGTGAGTCAGAATATGAGTGAGTCTGGGTGTCAGTGCGTCAGAATGCGAATGAATCTGAGTATGAGTGAGTCTGAATGTGAGTGAGTATGAGTGTGAGTGAGTCGGAATGTTATTGAGCATGAGCGTGTTTAAGTCTAGTCTAGTGTGAGATAGTCTGACTGCGAGTAAGTCTGAAAACAAGTGAGTCTGAGTGTGAGCGAGTCTGAGTGTGATGGAAACTGAGTGTGAGTTTGGCAGTGTAAGCGAGTGACAGTATGAATGAGTATGAGTGTGAGTGATGAGTGGCTCATGAGTGAGTGAACCTGAGTGTGAGTAAGTATGAGTGTTAGTGTGAGTGCGTCTGGGTGCGTCTGAGTAAGAGTATGAGTGAGTATGAGTGTGGTCGAGTCTGAGGAGGAGGAAGGAGGAGAGATGGTGGAGGAGAGGTCGGGAAGCGTCTAAGTCATAACAATATATCCATCTCAGGACATTGTGTGAAAGTGCTGAAGAGCCACCCTCACACAGGAAGCGCACAATAATCAACAACTCCTGGAACTCTTGGCTCGGCCGAAGCACACCGATGCCACGACTCCCTGGACTGCAGGAACACACATCGGCACAAACATACAAATCTGGACTGGAGGACCCCGCTGGCGGCGCCGTCGGCGCCCCGCGCTTCGCGCGCCACTGAGGGGTGTCCACCCCCGATCCGAGGGAGAACCTCCAATGCTGTGGATTATGCAAATTATGTTGCGCCATCGGGGAAGTTTGTGCCCCAGCGTGGCAACCCGAAGTGAGTCTGATATGTCTTTGTTCTTCGACGGGGCGAGTCCAGCCGCGGCGGCGAAGAACCTGAGTAACCCAACTTCGCGCATCGCGCCCCAGGATGCGCGCGGCGAGGTTACCTTCGCATCCTCGCGTCGCCCCGTGGAGAAGGCCAGCTTAACGACCCCCGGCCGCAACGCGCGAAGCGCGACTATCTTCGCGCCCCCGCGGGTGACCCAAGGGATGGGCAGCGGCACCGACCCCGCCCCATCATCTGGAGGCCAACCGAGAAGAGTTCCGACTGGATGCTGTCGGAGGGTCGCGCCGCAACGCCGATGTTCCAGCGATGGATCGGCGCCGCCAGCGCGAAGAGAAACGGGATCCACGTTAAGTCGTACCGCCGATGCACTAGAGATGCGGTGCGACTCTCGGACAATATCCCCAGACCTTTTTGTGTCGCAGCGATGGTGATCGTACACCGCGTTCGAAGTCTACGCAGGGCCACTGCACGGCGAACATACCCAGAGTTCCGAGGATGTAGTTCCCAACCATCGTGTGGTGTTGGGTCCTTGTAGCGCCCCGCGGTTCTCACTCCCTCCTCCTCCTCCTCCCCCTCCTCCCTCCTCCCATCCCTGCCTCTTCTCTCCACATGTCAACCATTTCTGCAAACCCCTCACACGCTTCGTGGTCCCATAAGGAGCTCCTCCAAAGACCCCAGTGGCGCAAAGTTCGCGCGCGCCGCCCCCACCCAGTACAGCGCTTCGTGGCCCCATAGGGAGCCCGAAGGCCCCAGTGGCAAAGTTCGCATGCGCCCCCACCCCCCCCGTCCCAATAGAGCGCTTCGTGACAAAAACGGAGCTCCACCGAAGGCCCCACCGGCAGAAAGCGCTTCGTAGCCCGATAGGGAGCTCCACCGCAGGCCCTAGTGGCAACCTTCGCATGCGCCCCCCCCCCACCCAGTACAGCGTTTGGTGGTCCCATAGGGAGCTCCACCGAAGGCCGCAGTGGCAAAGTTCGCATGCGTCCCACCCCCGCCCAGCTCGGCGCTTCGTAGCCCCATTATGGAGCTTCACCGAAGGCCCCAGTGGCCGCAGGCATGTGTCTCACCCACTCAGTACAGCACTTCGTGGCCCCATAGGGAGCTCCACCGAAGACCCCAATTGACGCGATCGCGTGCGTCTCCCCCACAATTACGGGACACCCCGCACGCGCTTCGTAGCCGCATAGGGAGCTCGACCGAAGGCCGCGTTGGCCGTGGGCATGTGTTTTCCCCCAACCCAGTACAGCGCTTCGTTGCCCCATAGGGAGCTCCACCCGACCCCAATGGCCGCGGTTGCATGCGTCTTCCCCACCATGACGGGACACCCCTCATGCACATCGTGGCCGAAAGCAATACCCACAATGCGATACTCACAACTGCACACGGTTGGGTCCTTCGCCTGGATATTTATGGTGCCGACCCCTTTCTCCAAATGTACTGATGGTTTGGCCCGGCGAACAAAAACGCCGGCATCGAACATCGCGAGCGGCCAAGAGGGGGGTGTCCAAGAGGGGTGTGTGCAAATCATGACCGGCGGCATGTGCGCGGCCCAGCGGGGGGGCCAGGGACGTAATGAAACAAGAAGAGGCGCCATGAAATCTGGGGAGATATCATGGCCCCCGCCATGATATCCACCCCCCCCTAGTCATCACCCCCCTCTTTTCCGCCCCCGAGCACGCCCCTCCCCCCCCTGGGAAGCCATGGAACCTCTAAACCCCAGTGATGCCTGCGGCCACGGGCCAGCACCGCCACCGCCTGCGCCTCCGGCGGCCGCGGCCGCGAAGTCCAGCAGCGCCGCCCGAGCAGCGTCCCTGCCCATGACATGCCAAGGGTCGCCATGTAACGACAGAAATCACGAGCTCCTCCTCCTCCTCCTCCTCCTCCTCCTCCTCCTCCTCCTCCTCCTCCTCCTCCTCCTCCTCCCCCTCCTCCTCTCCTCCTCCTCCTCCTCCTCCTCCTCCTCCTCCTCCTCCTCTCCTCCTCCTCCTCCTCCTCCTCCTCCTCCTCCTCCTCCTCCTCCAGTGTAGGATCGAGAAGGAGACAGGATCGAGGGTAGGTGAGGTTTCGGACGTATTGGGTGTGCTGGCGGGGGGGGGGTTCTGGATGGTGCAACGGAGCATGCTTCCTCGAGGAGGCGGCGACCCCCCCCTCAGTGGTGCAGCTCTGTGGCAGTTTGGCCGTGCCCAGCCTACAGGCGGCACCGCCCGCGAAGGAGGGCACCCGAGGCCGCCGGCCGCAAGCCGAGCCCCATAGCTCCTGCAGGTGAGTGCAGGGCGAGGACGAACTCGGGCGAGGGTGCAGGGATCAGCAGGGGGGAGCGACTCATGCGAGGACGGGGGTCACAAAAACGTCTCGCCGACTTCGGGCCCCATCGGGCCCGAAACCGGGACTGCAAATCCGTCGCAAAACTACAGTCGGACTCGATTGGAGAGGACACGCGGGAGGACACAAGACCCTTCCGAGGGCCACATTGCCACATGGATGTAGGAAGCACGGGTCGCGAGACACAGGGCACAAGGGTACCCTTGATTTGGCAGGGTCGACCTACTAGTCTGGGCCGACTGTACTGTCAGAATGAATTGAAAGGGGACAAAAAGGGGCCATGAGATCTGGTATCCACTCACGCGCACACGCACTCTTTGGCGTCGCAGGCACGCGCGCTGCTGCGCGGCGTAAGGAAAGGTCGAGCCAAAGAGCGGCGCCCAGGCCGACCTAACTCACGCAGCATGGAGGAGCCAGATCCACCGAAAGGGGGCTCGATGGCAACACTCGCGGGGGGGAACGATCGGGTGGGCGGCGCGGGAAGGGGAAAGAGTGGAAAGCCGACGAAGGGGAAATGCCATGCTGAGAACAACAAGACAAGCGGACAATGACGGGGCGCAGTGGAGTCAGACACATACACACCCACACACCCACACATCAACACCTACACACACGCACACACACACACACACACGCACATACACACACACACACCTTCGACGTCGTAACCACGCCCGCGGCGGTGCGGCGTAGTTCGAATCAGGCGGAAGCGCGCGACACACACTTGCACACACATGCACACACATGCACACACATGCACACACACACGCGCACACACACGCACATACACACCATGAAGTGTGAGTAGTATGGATATGAAACTGGTCGTGCTGGTCAGGTCGTCGCATCGGCGGTAACCCATCAGGAATTCAAACAATCACAACCCGCCACCGTGCCCTTGGCACGAAGCGGAGTGCGCGCCGTGCTCTTGGCACGACGTGGAGTGTTCCAAAACTCACAACTGTCCTGCTGCTGCTGTTGCAACCCGGATTCTAGATTCTTAAGAACCTGGGCACCCGGTGTCCTGGGCGCTCCTGAGTGTTTCCGTGAATTCTCGGGAGCTCTTGAGGTGTGTCGCGTGCGCTTCCGGAAGGCAAGCATGTCCCAAGGCGGAACAAGGACAGATGAGGCCGCGAAGACGGCCCAAGAGGGCCTCGAGTCGCCGCAAGATCGCCCCCAGGTCCTTCAGATGGCTCGAGTTCAACAATAGAGGCCCCTTAGAAGCTCCAAAGGGGCCCCAAGAGCATCCCAAGGAGGCCAAAATCACAGATTACCCTACATGTTTCAAATAGTGCTGATCTTCTCGCCTTCTTCAGCTTTTAGCACTCCAAGGCGGCCCAAGGAACCTTCACAAGCGCTCCAGGAATGCCCAGGACGCTCCGAGGAGGGCCCCGGGATGCCCAAGAGGGCCGCATGACGGCCCAAGAGGGGCTCCCAAAACAGCCCAAAAGGCTCCCAAAGGGGCCCCACAGGGGGAACATGGACGGACACTTCAAGCCTTCCGCCCAGCAATTACCCCAAGAGCCCCCCCAGAAGGCCCCGAGGTTCCCCAAGACGCCCCAAGAGGCCCCCAGAACACCTCCAGGAGACACCCAAAGCCCGCAACACCCCTTCAAGAATCCACCAAGAGGCGTCCCAAGAGACCCTCATATGCATCAAAGAGGCCTCTGATGCACAGCCCTGACACGGTGGCGGGATGGACCGAGGGCCACCAAATTCGCCGCACCCTGTGGTCTTGCCAAGAGGACCTCCAGGAAGGCCCGAAGAGGCAAACAAAACAGTGATCCGCCGCCCCCTGTCGATTCATCGCAGGGGTGCCTGGCGTGCCAAACGATATGGTTTTGGTTTTGGTTCTTGTTCCAAAAGAACTCCCTCTGGGGCTCTGGCGCGTCCCGCCGGCCACCCGGAAAACCTACCAGTCGTCGCCTTTCTTGCCCCACGATGGCCCAAGATGGCCTCCAAGACGGCCAAGATGTCCCAGGATGGCCTCCAAGATGGTCCAAGATGGCCTCCAAGTCCGCCCAAGATGGTCCAAGACGGCCTCCAAGACGGCCCAAGAGAGTCCAAGACGGCCCAAGAGGCCCCCCAGAGGCCTCCAAGACGGCCCAAGAGGCCTCCAAGAGGTCCTCCAGGAGGGCCCGAAGAGGCCAAAACCATTGATTTGCCTTTGGTTTTTGAAGGATTTTGGCATTCGCTTCTTCTCGGCTTCCGACGACCCAAGACGGCCCAAGAGGCCCCCAAGATATCCCCACAGCGCCCAAGAGGCGTCCAAGATGGCCTCAGGACTGCCCAAGAGGCCTCCAAGACACCCAAGATGGCCTCTAAGACGGCCCTGGAGCACCTCAAGGGGGCCCCAAGTCGGCCCAGAAAGGCTCCCCGAACGGCTTCCCACGGCGTCAGACGGGCCAGGAGCCCACCAAGATGGCGGAAGTGGGCTCGAAGCTGGCCCAAGAGGCCTCCAAAAGGGCCTCCAGGAAGGCCAGGAAAGGCCAAAAGCACTCATGTTCCGTATGTGTTCGAAGGATTTTGACATTTGCTTCGTTTCGGCCTTCCAACGGTCCGATACGGCCCAAGAGCCCCCAAAGATCGCTCCAAGATCGCACAAGAGGCCTCCAATATGGCCCCAGAACGGCCCCAGAGGCCCCAAGAGGCCCCAAGACGGCCCCAAGAGGCCGAAGATGGCCCTAAGATGGCCCAAGACGGCCCAAGACGCCACCAAGAGGGCCTCCAGGAAGGCCCGAAAAGGCCAAACTTATTGATTTCCCAAGAGTGTTTGAAGGATTGTGGCATTTGCTTTTGTTCGGCCTTCCGACGGCCCGAATGCCCCCAAAGATCGCCCAAGAGGCCCAAGACGGCCCCAAGATGCTCCCAAGACGACCCAAGAGGCCTCCACGACGCTCAAGATGGCCTCCAAGACGGCCCAAGAGCCCTCCAAGACATCCTCCAAGAAGGCCCGAAAGGGTCAAAATGGCCTTCAGACAGCCAAGATGCCCTTCAAGATGCCCACGTGTTCCCCGAAGGCTTACCAAACCGATTCGGGGAACACATGGTCCGATAGCTTGGTAGGTCTGGCCTCAACGTTCGGCCACATAGGCGCTTCCGAAAAGGCAGGGGGCGGCGGTGATTCGCCGTAGGCGTCTTCGATCAGCCGCCCCCTGTGGTCTTGCCACAGGGGTGCCCGTCGTGCTAGACCCTACACAATTTGGTCTTGGTTCTTTGTCCAAAAGAGCTCGCCTTGGGGCTTCGACCCATCCCGACGACCACCCGGAAAGGCCCGCCCGTTGCGCCACCAACGTCGCCTAAAACTGTCGTTTCGCTAGGGGCATCCTTGACAAATCGCTATCTTGGGGATCCTAGCCCAAGACGCCTTATGATAATGATGAGCGTTTCGCACGAGACGTCCTCGAACAGAGGTGATGTTGAAATCGATGACCCCATCTTCGGACCTTCCAAAATGACCATTTCGCTGCAGACAGTATCCATACTATGTAATGCTGCAACGACATGGATCGAAGATCATGTCAGAGCGCTTTCGGATGACCTCCAAGAAATAAGAAGATTGAATCAAATTCATGTTCTTCGCTCTTGTGTTCAAAAATCAGCGTTTCGCTAGAGACATCCCATGAAAACTGTCGTCGGGCGGCTCTTCCTCCTCCTCCTCATGATTTTCCCCGCCATCCTCCCCCAAGTGTTCGCCGAAGGGTTTCCACAACGGCTGGGGGAACACATGGCCCGATAGCTTGGCGGAGCTCTTGCCCCAACGCTCGGCCACATGGACGATTCCAGGAGGCAGGGGGCGGCGGTGATTCGCCGTAGGCGTCTTCGATTTATGGAGTTGGTCCCAACAATTCAGCGGTGTGGGGTCCTCGTTTTCAAAAGACACCGCTCGTTGCCCCATGGGGAGCTCCACCGAAGGCCCCAGTGACAGCGTCCGCATGGCACCGCCGCGCCCGTCTCCGCACACCCCTTGCACGCTTCGTGGCCCCGTAGGGATCCACCGAAACGCCCCAACGCCAACGCCCGCATAGAACCGCCGAGCCCGTCTCGGCACCGCCTCACACGCTTCGTGGTCCCATCAAGAAATTCCACCGCAGGTCCCCGTAGCAACGCCCGCGTGGCACCGCCGCGCCTATGTCGACACAGCTCTCACACGCTTCATGGCCCCATGGGGGGCGCCACCACCGCGGTCCCCTGGCACACCACTCACACGCTTCGCGGCCCATGGGGAGCTCCACCGAAGGCCCCAGTGGCAGCGCCCGCATGGCACCGTCATGCTGATTCGGCACTGTTCGCACGCTTCGCGGCCCCATGGGGAGCTCCAGCAATGCTCGCACAATATACTCGCGCTCATTTTAAACACCTCTCGCACGCTTCGCTTCGTGGCCCCGCACAGGGAGCTCCACCGAAAACCAGGTTCACCACCGCAATACACCTGCATCTGGCGGGGCCCTTCGCCATGACATGTCCTTCTCAATCGCTGTCACTCCTGGGGCCCATCACAATGTACAGCACATCGCGCCAAGATGCTCTGAAGGCTAACCTTAGCCTCAAGAGCGTACCTCGGGTCATGGCGTATGATGCAGAGACGCAAAGGTTGCTCAAACTACAATTTCAGCGTTGCATCTGATCGAAGCCGAATCTGCAACACAATCTACAAAGAACACGCGCCAACAATTCGAAACGAGAGTGGCCAAATGCGGCCAGGGATGAAGGAATGGAACGCAAGTTAACCTCCCAGTATAAGTGGGTAAAAGAACTGCCAGGCCCAAAGATTCGCCTTCGTCCCCCACCCCGAGGTCATGGCGCGCGGGTGCGTCACGGGCATGAAGAATTCGATCTATCCCAGAAAGGCCGGGGCCGAGTCTAAGGCTGGGGCCGAGTCCACGCAGCAATGGGGCTCTGAGGGCCAGAGGACCACAACCCATGCCACAACG